TTCATCATTACTAATGTCGTTCTGTGCTGCGGTTCTTATCATCAATACGTTGTCCCCGGGCTCACACGATGGTCCACCGTCCATTTCTGCACGTACGGGCTTCCGACAGGATTACCATCCCCATATGCGAGGCATAGCCACACACGAATATATGCTATAAATTATAAACTCGCAAGTGTAAACGTGAGACCTCAGCTTCGTCAGTCGCCTCTTGACCTTCGCCACATTCACATACAACACCAGCAACCAAAGTGAGAATATTGTGTTGTTGATCTCCAATTCACTCTCGTCCTGACCTGCCGCAAGCTGCCAGCGCGCCATGAGTGTCCAGGAGATTCAGGCTCCAGTATCGTACTGCTTTTTTGTAACTGATCCCTCAAATGGCTCGAGACACAAGATATTGGACTGCCAGGATCCAAACTGTCCAAACAGTGGCGCTTATAAGAAGTAACTGTTGTATCCGGCTACTTCATCTACTGTAAGTTGTGTTCTCTACCACTGGAGTATGCTAATCAGAATACTGGGTACTACCTCACATATGGACCATCATTAAGCAATTGGTCGCTGGGCACCACGCCAAATATAACCCCCATTATGATTTCTGTTCTCGATCGCCTTCTTTTCCATGTATGCTGTTCAGAAGACAACTCGCTACATTGCTGGTTGTTGCATGCTCATTGTCTTGAAGCAGTGCATACAACCATTACGAGCCAAAGGTGGCCCTTTGATCATATAATTACATCTCAAAGAATGTCTTAGTAGTCAGTAAAAGTATATATGGTTCAGCGGTACATTTTCTGAAACGTGAAGCGATTGTTTTCTCTTTCATCAAAATAACAATCATGACACAACTATAAAGGACTCGATAAGGCACCCCCGAGCCGCTGTAGATACCCCGGATTGCGCCAGAACAACGTGTGCTCTGGAAAATGCCGTCTTAGCAACAGCCTTCAATGAGGAAATGCTGATGTATTTTGGAAGCTTCGCAGAGTGTCTGCTAAGGCGGAACATTGCGACCGAGGGATCTTTGAAAGTAACTTTCACATAATTTCTTGAACAGATCATTAATTCATTATCCAAGATATAATTGTAGAGCACTACATACCAATTAGTTCGCAGTTATCTCGCACAGTTCAACAGCTCCGCAATACTCATCATCGGCGGCAACGTCGAGACTCGACACGCATCGGAGAGTAGCCGTAATTGCAGCGGGGATGGAAACAAGCGAAAATCACGTATAACCCATCTATGTATGCGGGACTCGTCACTCAAGAGATTCAATAGAGCTAAGACTCAGTAGGACTTGATGTACACACTTCCCTGGCGTGCTCTCTCAGACAAAGGACGCTCGAACGTCGCGCTCGATAACACAGCGAGCCATCCCCCATGTTCGCCGTCCGCCAGCGTTCGACAGCCAAGCGGAATGTTGCTGCGAACATCCTATTCATACTTAAACTTAGGACAGTATATTTCATAAAGCTGGATGCAACATCCAGGGAATCTGCGCTAGCAGTGTAAGGAGAAGCAACGCAGAGCAGCAGCGCAGAAAGGAGGAAAGATGAGAGTCGCGTAGCACGCGAGAGATAAATGGAGTCACGTGATCGTTAGATCCATGATCCGAAGGCGGCTTCGCCGCCTGAAGAGATAACTAGCTTCGTCGTTTGCTACGTGTACCTAGTCTCCCGAAGCCAGACGGAAACAGAGAGATCCCCCCCCCACGCACCCCAGGTCTCTCTTAACGTATACCGTTACCTAGGTATCTTGCAAAACACAGAGCTGGTTACGTTCTTTCCGTGTGAAGACACCTCCGTCAACGCCGTAGCGGACGTCGAGGCTTACAAGCAGATATGTTGTGGATTGGCTACCTGAATAAGCGGTACGTCTCAAATGCACTAGCAGCTGAAGTTTGATCCTATGGAGTAGATTTATGTATAATAGGGTACGTGGATGCATTCTCTTCTATCATACGACAATATTCAAAGGCACGTACTTTTTGACCCATACCATACACAAGCATGCTCATGGCTGGTGGGCCAGTACTCGATCACAACTCAGCGCTCAGCATTTACCCTTAGCCACGAGCCGCTGTACAGATATTCCGGAAATTCTTGTCAGCGCGTGTTCAAGTTGAGTTCGAAACTCAATAAATCAATAATTCGAAAAATAGATGTACGTACTCCTCCTCAACCTAGCTATAGTTCCTTGTTTACGTCCCCAAAATTATTCTAAAACCGTGTAAAAACTGTCTACTTTACTCAAAACAAACACCATATGCTCGAGAAGTGTCCAGTTGCCCGGCATGGGAGACTATGCGAGTTGGTTGAGTCCACCGGCCGCAGCTCGATCCCGTCGGATAGCGAAGAGTACAGCTCTTCAAGTCATCATCGTCGGGGGCACGTAAATTCTGTGGAAGGTGCGCATTGTGATGCTTATTACGCATCAAGGTACAGAACCCTCACTCACCACGCTGTTCAAACTGTAGCGGCACCCAACTTGACAACGCAGCTGGTCGCGAAGCCGTTCAAGAAACCGCAGAAACCAACAATCATAGCTCGCCTACCCGCAAGGACACATTTCGCGAGCGCACTTACCGTCCCGGAGACTCTGTTGTTGATGTAGATGTTGAAACTTCAACACGACATTGTATTCCATCGCACACTGCATGGGGCAAGTTCGTGCGCCGGCAGTCCGTTTACTCCCGAACAGAGTGGAGGTCATTCTTCCCCGGCTCTGAATTCTGTAGAGTTGCACTTGCCTCTGCGAGACCGTGTCAGTTTTGGAAATCAATGAGATTGGCCGGTCATGAACATTGGCATGCTAGGTCATGATTTCGTGAAGTCGGATTCTCTTGGACTGTCCGAAACCCGTTCAAGAGCATGTTGTTTCATATCCGCACTCTTATAGGACAAAAAGGCATTGCTTTGGGATGGTACAACAGTGTATATACAGTACATACAGTCAACTGAGGAGGAGCACATCTATTTTTCGAATTGTTGATTATTGAATTTCGAACTCAACTTGAACACGCGCTGACAAGAATTTCCGCAATATCTGTAACTGCAAGCTGCCAAGATAATTTTTGTATCAAGAATTCCCCGTCGCGTGACGGGCTACGTGACCGTATAACCTCGCAATCTAGTCACGAAAACTAGTGTATCTCCACAACGGCACACAAAAGCATACGAACACAAAAATACATTTCCATTGTTTTTTGTTTCGCCACACAATCAGTTACAGGTACAAAGTATACGGTCGTAGACAGCATAATACATGATTTTACGTCGGCGTATCCTTCAGCACTCCGTTTTTCCCCCTCGATTCTGAAGACGACCCAAACACCAGAGCTACGTAACACGAACCCAAGCGCAACAGGCAACAGCTAATGCACAAAAATATGCCAAAAGGATCGCCTTTTAGAGCTTAGCGGAACCGCCGGCTTCCAGGTAGCGCTTCTCGGCCTCCTCGAAGTTGATGACGCTCCAAATAGCCTTCAGATACTATAGAGAAACCCGAGTCAGCAACAAATCGAGGCGGATGAACAAAAACGTGAACAGCCTAAACCATCCGCAGAACCGCTCAACGGCAAAGAAAACACGATGACAAAATTCACATGATGACGGGAACGAAGACTATGACTCAAGGATGCATAATACTCACATCGGCCTTGACGTTAAGATACTGGAGGTAGAATGCGTGCTCCCAGATGTCTACACCGATGATTGGAACATGGCTGAGCAGTGGGTCCTGGTTGGCGGTAGTCACGATCTCGAGAGTCTTGGTGGCCGGGTTATAGCCCTGAAGGATGGGGCTCGGAAACTAAACACGACATCACAAATGTTAAGTACGTACGAGCCAGCCCCATCCGGAACCCTGGATCCCTGCGGTGATGGTGTTGAACTTGCTGGTCATGGAATCAAGGGAACCTGCGCCGCACTAAGTAGACAAGCGTGACAACAACGAGCAGTACGTACCGAAGGTGCTTTCGATGGCGATCTTCAAGGGACCGTCCTTGAGGACACCACCGTTGCCCTTGCCCTCACTGGCAGGAGGCGCCATGTTCTTCCAGAAAAGGGAGTGGTTGATGTGACCTATGATGACATTTGCATAAGCGAACGTCAAACATAAGCACGAGACCCCAAAACGGATAGAGAGAGATAAAAATGCCATGGACTTTGGTCGGTCCGTCGCCATTCATTGGTCCGGCCGCACTAGACGGCCTATAGAAACATGACACCGGATGGGAGAAGCCAATGACATTAGTACGGGATCGACACGCACCTCCACCGTTGAATTTCAGAGCGGCCTGAAGTGCAATGCGTTCCTTAGGCGTCGATGCTGCGGCATAGGAGGCTTCAGCAGCGTTCAGAGCATTAACATAGCTATGAAGAGGTTCGTCAGTTGTCACTCGGGTCCAGAATGAAGTCATGTTTGCGGCATAGTCAAGGACCGGAGAAAACAAATTTCGCGGAATACGAGATTTGGAGCTACATTGAATGAAGAACGACACATAGACACGTTCATCGAGTCGACGATGCCGCCCAATGAAAGCCGATCGAAAACGAGGAATAGGACTCGTCCGTTGACACTCACGTCTGGTGATGCTTCTTGTGGTGAAGCTCCATAATCTGACGTGAGATGTACGGTTCGAGAGCATCGTACCCGTAGGGAAGGTTGGGGAGAACGTGGGCCATTTTTGGATGAGATCTGCGTGCGTCGGGCAATCAGCTCGCATCTAACTCCAGTGCACGAAGAAGTTGAAAATACATAAAATTTGGAGGATAGAGCTCATCTGAGAATGAAGAAAATGACTTACTGGTCTTGAGATGCGAGGAGATGAGAGTAAGAGTGAAAGGAAGAGAGAACGACGGCAACCCGCTTTATAATGGAAACCCTTATCGCGATGTATGACGCAACACACGTGGCCGATAGAAATCAATCCCTCAACTCATGACTGAGCACGTGTACATAATACAATTGCCTCTTTCGATTCAGCTGGTGTTGTCCCCTTTGTCTAATGGTTATGACGTCAGACTTCTATATCTTTATTGGGTATCTGGAGGTTGCGGGTTCGAGTCCCGCAGGGGATATTTTTCCACTAGTTTACTACCTGTACTACCTGAACATAGAAAGAATATTCTCATGGCTTATGAACGTGGGGGTACGACAGAGGCCCTAATTTATTATGCATATACCTGTGGTTAAGAGATTGTACGACGGTTCACGAGACGATGTTCACTGGACTCACAAGAGTGTCGTGCGCCTCAAACGCCCAAGAAGTTCATAGTCAATGCTGTGAACGAACGAAAAATCTGAAAAATACACAGCTAAATTGCACAGCGCGGGGCACGGCATGCGCCTGCCACATGCTCAACTATAGCTACAGTTTACAACTTCCAGAATCGCGGAACCCAGAAACTGGGGTGGCGGCTCAACAAGACACGGTACGATGCCTTCCTGTTCAAGTCGCCACTCGATTTTCATTCGTATGTATGCGTCCCCGACTCCTCAGTGACAGCGGACAGTACCGTGCGGTGACCAGGTCGCCATGCAGATGGAGTCTGGCTCTGTTCGTACAGACCCATCTGAGCGTGGGCCTGAGGCTGGGGCGGAACATTTGTCTGCCCGCCTTGGCATTTGACTATACAAGCAGGCCTTTGGGCAGCAGGCAGCTTGTTGCATTTTTTAATGCATCGGTCTTGGCGCCATTGGCGACTGTGCGTACAGGCGGATAAGCATGACCAAGCGCAAGGTAGATGGAGGGGAGATAAACGTACAATTTATTGAGGAGCCCACGTCGGCGAAGCTCCATAAGCGCCTCGTAATCAAGCGCGTCGCGCTGCTCAAGGGCACCACGACGGTTACGCGTCACACCTTCTCGACGAGAAGGAACGTCGTGTCTCGTATGCTCGCTACAGTTGTGTCAGCAACATTCAGCCACGCAAACGAACAGAAAGAAGCAGAAGACAAAACAACGTACGGCGCCGGGCGCGAGTCGGCGACGAGCGCCATGAGTGCAAAAGAAAACACGAGAAAGAATGAACTGAATTTCATGGTGGAAGAAGCTCAGTTTATAGGCAGCGGCAAATACAATGAGAACTATGCGGCAAATATGATGAGCAAGTGTGTGAGTGTCGACCAGCGACTGCCGCCTGAGAATCCAGATTAAGTGTCATTTTATACACGAGGATTCGCTCGCCAAGCTGACTGGGGTTGTATTGTACTGCAACAGCCACCAGAGATAAGGGACACAGGTCGCCGTCATATAACGAGGGTTCGCCGTCATGACGAGGATTCGCAACCTACGACCGTGGTCTAAGGCCGGGCCGCACGGCACTGCCTAATTGATATGCGAGGAAGTAAGTACTGTACCGGCATGTATGGAAACAACGTCACGCATCACATCGGGCGCGTTGCGTTGTTGAAATCGCGCGAGGTCACGCTGCTTTGCCATGTCGTTGTTAGCAATAAACCAACGCATTTTCGGATTGAAGCAATGCGTAGGAAAAGAAGCCGCACGTCAGTCGCAACGACATAGCAGAGCGGAAGGTGATTGGCACACGAACGGTTTCGTAGACAGGCTCACTGCTCATCACAGGCATGGACACGCATCGTAAACGTGTATCCTGATAGTGGCGTGATCAACAGTTGCACAGCGAGAGGGAAGAGGAGCCTGTATGAATAACAATGGTTTGCGCTCAAGTTCTCTACGAAGGCGATGATGAATTCTATGCTGTGGCGCCGATGCCGCAGACCACCAGGATCAATATCGTGCTGGCTATCTTGTCGGGAGCTTCAGCGAAGGCCTGAGAGTCCTTGCAACCGCAACGACACGCTCACCTGTTACTGTCAGAAAGCTGTATACGGAGCCGCTTTGATAGATGGACCTTCGAACGCTTGTACAAATGGAACAACAGATGTGGATCGTGATGTATATTTGAGTAATGATATGACTAGAACCATCGGCGAGGAGGACAGCTACGGGTATGGCAAGGCATGTCCTCGGTGGATCGAAACCGTTGTAAGGTCTTGTGGACTCGGACCTCTACAGGTTAGATACTTAGATACGGGCTTGTTTTTTTTTTTTTTTCAAGTGAGCAGGAGCCCAAGCGAGGCTCGAGGGCTCACACAGGAATAATTCTGACCTTGTTATCTCACTAGGGAGGTGAGCGACATGATGGGGTGTACAAGAAGCTAAGGCTCGTAATAGGAAGCAGCTGTAGGCTGCATCGGGGTCTACGACTGCTGTAAGGGGGCATGGCCAATGGCGGTAATACAGACACGTATCGCCGAAGTATGCGTGTGGCTGTTCCGGCTCGGGAGGCAAGCGGTGCTGAGCGCTGAACCCTGGCGAGGGGGTGAGCATCAGCGCAACAGCCGATCCGTTACTATGGTAGTTGTTGAAGGATTTGCAACATGAAAGAGACCGTACAGGAAGATCGCTGAAAGCATGCGATAGCGCCGCGTATCCAATCAACAGCTACGCCCGTCTCAAACACAGGATCCCGAAGGCAGTTCATCCAAATGCGGCTGATGGTTGTTGGAACGCCTTCTCGTTTTCTGTATCCATCAGGTTAAGCGCATCGTGGTTCTATACCATGGTTACAATGCTGAAAGCAGCCAGAATCTGAGAGCATGCCTCCGGTATTGGGGAAAGTAAGCCCCCGGGTAGTATTGCGAAGAACCGCTCGCAGCTGACTCGGAATGAAAAGCGGACACCGACCTCGTAGGACGTGAAAGAGCGCAATAAGATCAGATAGCTTTTGGTTTCTTATACGTCTACAAGGAAGACAGAGATATCCTTGAAAGCGAACAGTCAAAGTGGAAAACATGCGAACGTAAGTACATTGCATACACACACATTGAACTGAGAGTGGTCACTGTCTATGAATTCGCCTGTTGACTCAAGCGACGGGGCGTTATCGCGCCAGCTACGACTACCAATGCGCCCGCATCAGTACTTGCCGCCAACGGGCTTCAGCTTCCACGCTTTTCATCTGTATTTCGATGTGATAACTAGCATCGCACATTCAATCTACCTGAGAATAACGGGGGAAAGTGATTGCAATTGTCATGATTCGCAACTCTGGGATGAGAGTGTAGTGCGCGAGTCTTAGAGTACTAGGAATAGACGTACGAGCATGAGTAGTAGAAGTAAATTTACGGGTGTACATAGTAGATGTAGATGCATAGGTGCGAGTATGTTAAGTAAACTTGGTCGTAAGAAAGTTCGTATAGGGTTGTTAGTCAAATCATGACAGTCCACAGACAATTAGCACACGTCGCGGATTCATGCCTACCCAGCTGCACCGCTTCACTTGGAAGCACCGGGAATATTACGAGATCTTAAAAAGACAGAAGAAAAGAAAAAACGCCTAACATCGTCAGTTCGTGCCCAGTGGTCGCAGACCCCGGGCCTGGCAGATACCCACCGTATACCATCTGTTCCTTCACCAGCGGCTCACGACGGCGACGTGCACCCCGCGCTCGCGCGTCAAGGAGAATCGATGCAACGCGGAGCGGGTGTCCACGACCCATTCACCCTTGCGATTCAGGAACCACTCCTTCTGGTCGTACTCCGCGATATCCCAACAGACGGTCACCGACCTGAGCAACGGCAGCAACTCCGAGTTGCCGAGCACTTCGTCGAGCGCCTCCAGTGCGGTAGTTTCTCGCTGGCCCGTGAACGCGAACTCGGCAGTCTCGAGCGTGCCAGACCCGTGGCTCCGCAGACAGCGAATCACAAGATCCAGCTGCGCCACGGAGAAACACGAGAGCCGTGGAGTTTCGATGGAAAGCGACGCTAGCATCGTGTTCTTGCTTAGGTCTAGTGTGAACTTCGGGTTAGGATCAATGTCTGAGTGTGAGCTCTCGACGGCAGAGTAGCGGATTTCTCGCAGACACGGTGCTTGTGCGAGAATGTGGTTGACATAGTCTCCCATCTCTTCGCCATCCTCCATTGAGATCGAGAGAGACACGAGCCGTGACAAGCATGACCCCGCACGCGATGACAGGTAGCACATCAAAGTGGAAGGAACATGGTGGATACTCAGGCGCTGTATAGCCCTGTGCGACCACAAAACAACCAAGGCAGACAATAGGGCCGGCAGAAGCTGGGTCCCAGTCGCCTTTCCCACGTAATGTCCACCTCGAATGTCGAGGGACACGACATGGGTGAGGTATGGTGACGACGATGTCATAGCTTCCACCATCTTCTCCCACTCGCGCGCAGGGGACGCTTCGAGCGAGACATCGAGATGACGAACAAAACTCCAGAGGTGAGGTGATGCCGAAAGCACACTGACGAAGTCGCAGACCTGGCATGCATTGAGGTGGAGGTCAGAAAAGATGATTCGCTGGCAGGAAAAGTGGAAGCGATTGGAGACACGCGAGCAGGCCATAAGCGTGGCCCTGTCATCACGAAGAAAGAGGATAATGTGATGCACGATCTCCTCGAGGTCGAGCGCTGGATGCACTGCCGCGACGTTCACCAATGGCGCTGGTGCAATCGCCGTCCTCTCGAGCGTACGCTTGGGCGCATAACAGCTGTTGTGTATCTGTTAGCCACTCGACACTACGAAAACAGGCACATTCGACAAGTACCTTTGCCACGGCGTCAACGTGGAGCACAGGTGTCGAAGAAAGGACGTAGGCAATGCAACCATTGGAAACCTCGAAAATGGAACGAAAAAGGGAAGGGAAAGAGTTGCCACGCCTTTTGCCAGCGGTTGTAGAAATAACGGTCGACAAAGCAATTACAAATGATTTTCATATGATTCAGCCTGAGTTCTGAGCCTGTCATATATATACGTGTACACGGCCCTGCACGCGGAGGCGGCCGTTGAACGTTGATTTCACAGCTCACAGGTGCCGATGTTGAAATGGCCATTGCGAGAATGTCGGGTGTCGTGCTGTGACAAGACACGACAAAACTTGAGAGGGGAAATGGAACCAGCGGGATTAGAGAGGTACATAAATGTGATTTGCACCCACGCGACGACGACACTGCCACCGATTATCAATTATATATGGTATGTAATTCCGTACCACGGCGCAGCTTCTCGTCAGATGTCATTCAAAACGAAAGCTA